ATGAAAGCAGACAACAGAACATTGTTAGAGATCAGGAAAGGATGTGAAAGGAGACAATTTTAGAGAAGAAAATTTTTTGGTCGCTACCCGGAATCGAACCCTGGACCTTTGAATGAGAGGCCAACACCTTAACCTCTTGGCCACGAGAGCCCCTGTGTATGTGTGTGTGTGTGTCAGATAGAACTTTGTAATTCTAAGATAAGGAACAGCCCACTAAATCTGGGGCCACTTTATCAAGGGGGCGGATCAAGACATGTGGGAAGGGAGGAGGAGGGAAGACAGAAGACAAACTAGCAGGGCTTCGGGAAGTGTGGGGCGGGTGAATTAAAGGGAGGGTTTTTATTTTTATCTCTTTTTTTTCCTTTAATTCCAAATTTAGAACACGCAACAAACAAGGATAGATTATAATGTAAACGAAATTATCTGGAACTGCGGACAAAGAAATGTAGATATTTTTATCGTATTTGAAACATTAATAGAACTCGGGAGAATACCATGCTCAAGGGGAGGGAGGAGGTGAGGAGAGGGTGTGGGGAGTGGGGGGTGGGAGTGGGGATCTTGTAAGAATTTGTTCTGCTGTTCGTGTTGTGAATAAAAATTGGAGGATCTAAGCCGACGTAGACCATATTCGTTTGCTTTCTAATTGTCTTTGGGAGTTTGTTTTTTTATTGAGTTTATGGTAATTTTCTATCGATGGCACAGCTCTTTGCCCGGAGGCGAGAGCAAAAAAAGCAGGGAGGAACAAAAATAGAAGACAAAAGCGAAAACTCCGAAACGGAAACGCAAAACGTGCTTACGTCTACTCTCATTAAATTTTGCTCACCCTCGTCTGAGGTAAAGCTGGTAGGCGCTTTGTGGTGCATACAGATGATGTGAGATCGGTTCCCGTATTGGGAGATTTGGGGTTGCTTGTGGTTTTTTGTTTTGTTTGTTAGTCGGTTTTTCTTTTTTTATTTATACAATTTTTAATTCGAACTAGTGCTGACGTCAACACTTTTCCCCCTCTTCCTTTCTGTAGACATTATTTAAAAAGGATAGTGGAAACAGCACAAAGAATTATATTGCTTTTAGTTTAGTTTTAATAAGGTTTAATGGCTTTGGCGACTGCATAATAAGAAGTATCTGGTTTAGTAATGAGACGCTTCACATTCTCACACACAAGGAATCTGAATTCGTTTCCCAAAAGGGCAGAATTGTTATCAAGTATAGCAGTCCTCTCTCTGAGATGTTTTATCCCTCTTAGCCGGGGCTAGCACTAACATGGACGATCGAAGCCAACCTCTGACATGTTCTAAATTATGTCGCTGGGGGCGTAAAACACCTACACTTTTGGGGGAGGGGGTGGACAACACACACAAAAATCTTAATGAGAATGCATTTAGCCACAGGGTACAGACATATTGGCAGGTCTCTGACCAATTATTAACAACAGGTTCCAGTGTGTTATTTTAAATTATTAAAATAGATTTTTGCCTTGTGGCTGACAGGGTTAAATCAATAGCAGTCACTAACAAGGCCCCGTGGTTTCTTAGAAAACCTTTGTATTAGACAGAATGATGGATTACGTTTTGGAGGATCAAAAAATCAACCAGCTCTAAGAACCGGTCGTCAACCTTATCAGTCAGCTCATTCTGGATTTTTTTTCTCTACCTCTGTCTCTCTCTCTCTCTCTCTCTCTCTCTCTCTCTCTCTCTCTCTCTATATCTCTAACTCGTTATTCTCTCTCCCCATCTGTCTCCTTCTCTCGCTCCATCTCTCTTCAAGTCCTGGGGGTGAAACTGGGTGAAACCCTTCCCTTGATCGCCTCAGGGAAACACACGATAAAGATGCCAGTCTCTAAAGTAATCGCAATCCAATCTTTGATTAAAGATTCCCTTTTCTCCTAAAACATCTGCAAATAAACTTTCAAGTGATAACTATTTACTAACCATTTTACTATAACGTGTTTGCCCGCGGGTAGCGTTCAGTATATTTGTAATAATTGTAATGTTTTGCAACCACACCTCACTCACCACTTCAGCGTACGAGCGCGCGCGTGTGGGTGAGATGACTGTCTGCGAGAGAAGTGACGACGTTACCAGGGACAAAATTATTCTAGGCAGGAACGGCTCAACCAGATCTGTTTCCCGGTGTGCATCTACTCACGCTGAACCAGAAGACGCGCTAAACGATAGGAGCATCATTACTCACTCCCTCACGCACTCACGCCTGTCCTAGTATTATTATTTTGAATTGTGCGAATTTGTGAATCTTTTTTTCATCAATACGGATTGCTTTTATAATATTTATCTTCTGTAACTTAGTTTAGGCCTTCTTTACGACTTCAAGGATACTTTCTTCACGGTAAGAGAAACGACGTCTGGTCTATAACGGTTATTTTTTATTATCTGTTTGTTTATACGTATTTTGTATTACTCATTCCCT